ATGCTGGAAATTCTCTCAAAAGAGAGAAATAAATTCTATAATTTGACAGCAACAACCAAAATAGCCAATTAGGTGAAGCAAATGAACCTTTAAGGTCATTTATTTGTTCTATCTCTAATGGCACTAGAGCTAGTTCTAAGGACACTAATCATTTGTCCCCTTTTCACAGGAGGGTAGCATCCATCTATCCAAAATTTTAGCCTTAAAGGTACACAAGGTCTCCAAGGAAAAACTGCAGTTTGTTCAAACTCAAGTTCGTTATTTAGGGCACCTAATCTCAGAACAAGGGCTGCACCTAGATCCAAGTAGGCTTCATAGCACCCTGCACTTCCCCAAACCCAAGACTAACTGCCAATTACAAGATTTTCTCAGGCAGCCTGGCTGCCTACTGTCAGAAATGGATTTTGAACTTTTCTCTCATGGCCCAGCCTTTATATACATTACTAAAGAACACCAAACCTGACCCCATTAATTAGGAAGCTTGGGATGACCTAGCTTTTAATACCTTAAAAGAAAACTAAATAAATCCCCTTGCCCTTGAGGGGCACCTGGGTGGCTTAGTCAGTTGAGCCTACTATTCTTGATTTCAGCTCAGGTTTCTCATGGTTTGTGGGTTCGGGCCCTGCATCAGATTCTGAGCTTACAGTGCAGTGCCTGCTTGGGATTCTCTCTCCCTCCCTTTCTCTCTACCCCTCCCCAGCTCTCTCTTTCTCTCTAAGTAAATAAATAAACTAAAAAATAATAAAACAAATAAATCCCCTTGCCCTTGGACATCCCAATTACCAGCTTCCTTTTTTTCCTTTTACATATGAAAAGGAAGGGAATACCCTTGGGGTATTCAACCAAAAACATGGAGACCACCATCAACCCACAGGGTAATATAGCCAACAGCTAGACCCTGTGGCATGAGGTTACCTCCCTTGCCTCAGAGCCATTCCTGATACTGCCATCTTAGTTAAGGCCACTGAAGAAATAGTCATGGAGTCCCCTCTAACCCCCTTTGTGCCCCACAAAATAGAACCCTTCCTAAATCCTAATGACTGTGGATAGAGGTCTGTCCATGATCTCAGAACAATGTAAACAATAATGTTATCCCTCGTCACCCTGTTGTTCCCAACCCTCATAGTCTACTAGCCTCCATTCCAACCTAAATTCTCACCATACTCAACACCTTTCAGCCAGTCATCTCACCTCCTGTGAAATCCTCCCTCTTGCTAACAGCTCCTCACATAACTTTTTTTTTCAACTATAAGAACTTAACCCTGCTACACTTCTTCCCTCTTCTAAGATAATACTCCTCATGACTGTTTGACAGATCAGTTCCTGACTCCCTGTGAAAACTTCTAAGAAAGTCCTTCAGATGATGCTGATTAGTCATGGCTCACTGGTGCTTCTTATATGAAAAGAGAATATGGAAAACACAGTGCTAGACATGTAATTCTAACTCCCTCCAAAGTAAATGAAGCAGCATATTTGCCTTTGGCTACTTCAGTACAAGCCAAGCCAGAACCAGGACCACTCACAAGGACCAGAAAGACTCTCTTCAACCCCATTGAAAGGACCCCTATCAGGTACTGCTAACCAACCCATATGCTGCCAAATTCCAAGGAACAAACTTTTGGATTCCTGGGTCACATATAAACACCAAACCCTGACGAGACCTGCACACCATCTGGTGACCTGAAAATAAAGATTTCCAGGAAATGAAGCAGATGGCAGCTGAAGGAAACAGCTTTCCCAAGATGATGGGACCAGACACATATACCTTCTGTCCCTTGGTTGTTCTCACTCTTTCTTTGCCCTCTCTGGGAAAGAAAATGCCCTTATGTCCACATTTCCCAATCCTATGCAAAAGGGGGTAACCTTTCTGACTGCTGGGTCTGTCACGAGAAGCTCCAATCTGTTCACGATGTCAGAGATCCCTTGGTGTTACCTAAAACGAATTTGCTTCTAGTCCCAAATACCATTGCTGATACAACCAAAAGCCTATAGATATTAACTATAGGGTTAGGCTATTGTGACCAGGCATTCCCACACCTTGTTTCAACCTTTCCTTAGTCATAACCATAGTAGCTCAGTTAAATCCCTCCATCTTTGCCAGTTGTACCATCTTCACTCCCCCAGGTTCTTCTCCTTATCTAACTGCAATATGTCTCCCTGTACCCAAGGGAAATACAGATACATTTGTTCCTCTTTGCAAGGTTTTTGCAAGGTTTTTTTTTTTCAATGTTTATTTATTTTGAGAGAGAGAAAGAGAAAGAGAACGGGGGAGGGGCAGAGAGAGAGGGAGAGACAAAATCCCAAGCAGGCTCTGTGCTGTCATCATGGAGCCTGATGCAGGGCTCAATCTCATGAACCCCAAGCTCATGACCTGAGCCAAAAATCAAAGAGTCCCACGCTTAACCGTCTGACCACCCAGGTGCTCCTGCAAGGTTTTTAGAAAATAAAAAATGGACTTTAGGAAAAAATGGACTCTTACAGAATGTCATCCCAACTCCTCTGACCCATGGCTTGAAAAGGTCAATCAGGACATTTCCAGCTAAGGGCTCTATCAAAAACCAGACCTTAGCTAGAGTCTCCTATGCTCCACCTGGATTTGTTGGCAATGGACAGCATTTCCTATGGGCATATGAATGCTTAGATAGCTGGCAACTTGGAACTCAATGCTATTGGGGCATTTAACTGTTCCTGTTAATATCCTTAACAAATCAAGAGACTTCCCATCGGTCTGCCCCATTAGGCTTTCAGAGCATCTTAAATGTGAAATTCTGGGGGGCATACATGACTCCTGGTTTGCCTCCATCGAAAGAGATTTTCTTCCTTGGGTTGAAGTGCCAGTGAACACATGATCAGATATCTCCCCCTAACCTTAGGAGAGCTAGCCAATTCCACAGCAATATCAGCCCACTGACTATCACTTGACTGTTTGACTAATGTAGTTTTAGATAATCACATAACCCTTGGTTATCTACTTGCTGAACAAGGAGGTATTTGTGCAATAACAAATACCACCTGTTGCACATGTATAAATTCATCTGGAGACGCAGAAATTCAATTACACAAGATCAGGGAACAAGTGCACTGGTTACAACAAATCTCACTTAATGACCCCCGGTCTTTTGATCTATTTAGCTGGGTTTGAGGTCTCCATATGGAACCATCACATAAACTGTATTTGTCATATTACTTTTAATCCTGCTTGTATAATTAATTTTAAACTTAACCTGATGCCTGTCAAATCTCTGCAGAAGTAATGCATCAAATAGGGTGATGCTAGCTCAGCACTTCAAGATGATCTCCAATGTTTATGACCTTGACAAGACATAGACCTTAGATGGAAAGTGACTGAGATTTCTCCTTCCTACGCTTCCTTATTCCTCAAATGTGGCCTTGATGGTTTCCAATCATTATGCACTTTCCCTCCAATGTGGGTCAATGACAACTGAAGAAGATCCTTCCTGGTACTGAGGGACAAACCACTAAATTAAAAAAAATCTGACTCTTGTTCAGCAATACTTTCGAGGAAAAATCTTGATCAAAAGGGGGATATGTGAAAATAAATGAAGGGAACATCATTTAAAATGGAGTCAGGAAGCCCAGGAGTGGGACTTCTCAAGTACAAACCTCTCACTGCAGCCTACAAAACTAGCAAGAAGGAAGATAATTACTTTGCCAAAAGAAGGCACTTTTCACATAGGAATTTATCTCTTATCTTTAAGAACAGGAAGATCCCCGCCCCACCCAGCAAGACACACTAACCACCACCTACAGCCAATGAGAAACCCGCCCCCATTCTCAAACTCTTGTTCTTCTCCAGTCAACTTTTGTCTAGAACTCTCCCCAATTTCTCCTTAAAACCTAATAAAAGCTGGCCTTCCCTTTGTCTCTTCAGACTTGCCTATGGTTTGCCATAGCTTATCACAAATTGTAATTCCTCTGCTCTTCCCAAATAATCTCATTCTTTTACATAAATAAAATGGTTCTTTGTTCTGTGTAATGTTAACACCCAACAACCCTCACCGCCCCGCCCACCCCCCCCACCCCCCCCCCGACCCCCGCACACACACAATGGCCAATGCCTGTGACCGCAAACTGCCTGGAACCTTAGTCCCTGGGAATGAATGGGTGGTGGTATCCTCACCCCCTGCTATATGGGCACACACTGAAACTGGGTGCTATCAGGTGCCACTGTAATATATAGGCTGAAACACATGGCTCCATCTTAACTGGCCACCCTCATCACCACCACCAACCCCTTCAGGGGCCGAAGGGCAGGTTGCATAGGGGGGCTCAGAAGCCCAGGTCTATGTGTCCCCCCAGTGGGCTCCTACCAAGAGATCACCCGCCCACTCACCACCCCCTCCGCCACCTCCCTTTTCTCCTCCTCTCCATTCACGGTAGCCTAGCAACCCGCTTACCAATAAAAGAGGTCCAGGATGACGTTGGGAACGTCGGAGGAGGATTCACTACAGGCCAAAGTGGAATTTCAAGGTGAGTGGAGGGGGCGGGGCGGTCGTCGCCCTCCAGGAGCCAGGTTCCGAAGAGCCGTAGGAGGACAGCGGCTCCCAGCAAGCCCGGGATGGCATAGCTGAGACCGACCACAGGGAAGGCCTCGGACCAGGAAAAGAACAGAGGGAGGTGAGCAGGAAGCACGAAGCGAAAGGGAGCTGGGGGAGGGAGGCAGGAGGCGGTAGGTCTTCCGCAAAAAATCACTTTTAAGAACTGAAACCAAGGGGAACAGAAAGTGCGGGAGTCGCTCAGGAGCCCAGAGCCCCGCGCGCGGCGAGAGGAGCAGCCAGGTAGGAGCTCTACTCCACGCTGCGCCCGTAGCACGCGTCCTGTGCTTTGAATTGCGCTCGGTCTGAAGCCAGTCCCATCTGCAACTGGGCGGGCACTGAGCCAGCTGCGCCGCTGGCTCCGCCCACTCCATGGCAGCGCCTGCCTAGCCAATCGGGAGATTCCAGAAGCCACACAAAAAGACGTGCAATCCTACTACCTTCTCCAACTAGGGCGCTGCTCAGTCCTCTGCTTTTTCAGGCCTCTGCGGTTTCTCCTGGGGCAGGCTTCAGCACCTTGGTTGCTGGAGGGCTGGGCCGGAATCAGCTGCTTGACTTACCCTCCTCCGCCTGCAGCACCTCCGCCTCTGCAAAAATGCAAAATTTGCTTTTCTCTTGGAAGAGCGTGTGCCCAAGAGTTTGGTGGGTTTTGTGGTTGTTGTTGTTGTTATTGTTGTTATGTTTGTTTTTGTTTTGGTGAAGGAAGTGCAGTGCTTTGAGTGCCCTGGCTGAATCTGTATTCTAAAAGAGCTGGACACCTGGGGGGAATCAGGAGGTACTAGACTGCTTATCATTCCCAGACGCTTGAGCCTCCAGTAAACCTCAGTGCCTCGCCTCTGGGTGGAGTGGAGGAGGGTCAGCAAATAAGTTTTATGAGGGGACTCTGGCCACAGCAATAGTGGCCCTTCAGTAGGACAGAAATTGGGCTCCAGGAGCATCTCCTCTAATGGGGTTCATGAGCAAACGGCTAAGAAAGAATTCCTGAGACGTTTTTGGTGCAAAAAGGTGATTTTATTAAAGCACTGGGACAGGACCCGTGGCCAGAAAGAGCTGCACTGGGGTTGTGAGGAGTGACTGATTATATATTTTTAAGTTTGTGGAGGGAGGGAGATAGAGATAAAGTAAGTTTCTAAGGAATTTGGAAGTAAGGCTTTCAGGACCTTGAGGACTAGCTGTTGTTAAGATAAGGTTACTTTTAAGTTTTTTTTTTTCAACATTTATTTATTTTTGGGACAGAGAGAGACAGAGCATGAACGGGGGAGGGGCAGAGAGAGAGAGGGAGAGAGACACAGAATAGGAAACAGGCTCCAGGCTCCGAGCCATCAGCCCAGAGCCCGACGCGGGGCTCGAACTCACGGACCGCGAGATCGTGACCTGGCTGAAGTCGGACGCTTAACCGACTGCGCCACCCAGGCGCCCTGGTTACTTTTAGTTTTTAACAAAACACAAACATTAAGGAAGTAAGGCAGCCATGCATTCCTCAAGGAAGGTCACTCTCTGCATGTTTCGGATATCTATCAGTGGGCTGCAAACTGTAAGATTTAATTTAAGCTACATTTCTCTTGCCTTTGTTTTACTCCTCACCACCACCCCCCAACTAGAGGATGCAGAGTTGGAGTGTTCTTGGCTGACACCATGGAAGGGGAAAAGAAGGCAAAGGTAAGTGTATCTTTAAGGGAGTTAGCCCCTAGAGAGCAGGCCATTCTACTGTTCCAGCATTCTGGCCCCATCATATGGAAAAGCCTGGCATTTTGTGTAGAGGGCATCTGTTCTTTCCACTACCCTGAACATAGTCCTGTGGGATAGAAGGATATCAGAGAATGAGGAAATGCCTCCACTCATTACCCTCTGTCCTTCCCATCTCCAAGATGAAGCAAGTTTTGGGGCGCCTGGATGGCTCAGTCTTTTAAGTGTCCATCTTCCACTCAGGTCATGATCTCGTTGTACATGGGTTAGAGCCCCACATCTGGCTCTGTGCTGACAGCTCAGAGCCTGGAGGCCGCTTCGATTCTCTCTTTCTCTCTCTGCCCCTCCCCCTGCTCGTTTTCTCTCTCTCTGTCTCTGTCTCTCTCTTTCTCTCATAAATATTAAAAAAACTTTAAAGGGGCGCCTGGGTGGCTTAGTCGGTTAAGCATCCGTCTTCGGCTCAGGTCATGATATCGGGGTCCATGAGTTCAAGCCCTGCGTTGGGCTCTGTACTAACCTCTTCAGAGCCTGGAGCCTGCTTCAGATTCTGTGTCTCACTCTCTCTCTGCTCCTCTCCCACTCATGCTCTCTCTGTCTCTGAAAAACAAATAAATAAACGTTAAAAAATAAAAAGCTTAAAAAAATGAAACAAGTTTAGAAAGAGGCCTCTTTAGAGCACATAAGCCAGACAGGCAGTCAACAAATAGAACTCCGTGATGGCATGTCATTTAAAAGTGTTGAAATCAGGGGCACCTGGGTGGCTCAGTCAGTTGAGCCTCCGACTTCAGCTCAGATCATGATCTCACAGTTCCCTGAGTTTGAGCCCCATGTCAGGCTCGCTGCTGTCAACACAGAGCCTGCTTTGTGTCCTTGTCCTCTGTTCTCTGCGTCTGTCCCCTTCTCTCTGCCCCTGCCCTGCTTACGCTCGTACTCTCTCTCAAAAACAAAACAATATTAAAGAAAAAAGTAAAAGTGATAAAATCAAAACAGATTTCAAGTTCGCTTTTGGTTAACTATAACATTCAAACAGAGGGGCGCCTGGGTGGCTCAGTCGATTAAGTGTCTGACTTGGGCTCAGGTCATGATCTCACGGTTTGTGAGTTCAAGCCCCACATCGGACTGTGTGCTGACAGCTCAGAGCCTGGAGTCTGCTTCGGATTCTGTGTCCCTGTCTCCCTCTGCCTCTTCCCCACTTATGCTCTGTCTCTCAAAAATAAATAAATGTAAAAAAAAAATTTAGAACATTCAAACAGAAACATTGTTCCCTTTGTCTTTCCTTGAGTATTTGGTAAATGAGTTGGGACTGCTTGTACCCAGCATATTGCAAATCTTCTGTTTGGAACTCCTGGGGGTAGCTGAGTGTTTTGCACAGCTAAAGATTTAACTCATTACCCCACCTCAACAACCACCCATCTATTTTTTTACCATTTTTGAATCACTTTTAAAATATATCTCATCATTTTCTGCCTTCTTACAAGCAGCAGAGCACCCTAGCACCTTCCTTTCCCCTCTTTTCCCTCGTACCTTTTTTTCCTTCCATTGCAGCAAATGCTTCCTTCCCACCAGTGCAAGACTAGAAAAAAAAAATAGGTGGGAGTATCTATATATCACTAACCATTACATACAGGAGTGGGTCTGTGAAGCCTGCCGCTACTGCCCTTAATCCTTCATCCCTTGTCCCTGGTCACTCAGGCATCCTTGGAGACAGTCCTTGCTTACCAAAGACGGAAAGGCCATTCCAGGTAATTTTGCCCAAGCACCTGAATTGTACATGTGGGGACACTGAAGCCTAGAGAAGGAAGAGGAATTGGCCCAAGGTTACATGGCAGAGGCCAAAACTAGAATCTTGTTTCCAGAATGACCTAGTTCCAGAACTGGTTTTTGTTTTTGTTTTTGTTTTTGTTTTTCTAGTGATAAATTGGTTTTGCCTGGTATTTCAGTCAACCACCAGCAGGTGGGAGTAAATTTGTTTGCAAGCACGTTGTTCTTAGCACCCTGGAACAAATTGCACACTCAGTCCCACATTTGTCAAAGCAAGCCTGAATTATTTTCTCCCTAGGTATCCTTGTGACTACAGTGATTGCTAAAAACTTGATGGCAATAGTTTACTTCCAGAGCTTACATCCCAGACTCCCATGACAAATACCCCCAAAGTCAACAAGAAATCTATAAAAGCCAGTATAATTTGTATGTGTTCAGCTTTTGCATAGTTAATTTATTAGAATATACATAAATATCCAGGATTAATGGACTTAAACCTTAATACAGGATCATGGTGTACTGACCTAGGCGTTAACCCATCTGTGTTCTGACCCAGCTCTGCCACATTACAGAGAGTATTCCAGTTTGTCTGGAGTGTAATGTGAGTTGGGAGGTAAGAGGAGGTAAAAGAGGTAAGAATAAAAAGAATAGGTAGCACCTGGCCTAGTGAGGGTCACACAGTAAATACGTATTCAGTGAATAAGTACAGCAAAAAGACTTTTAGATCTGATTGTCCAAACTAAGGAATTTGATTTCTGTTGTACATTCAAGGGTAAGCTTTTGACGGATTCGTGCAGGGGAAATGATACAATGAGGAAGAAACATTCAGTACCTCTGTGAGGGAGAAGGAGAAACTGGAAGGAAGAGACTGGGGAGGAGAGCAGTTAGGAGAATATTGTATACCTCTGCTTCTGGTAATGGCAGACTGAGTAATTTGGACTAATCCCAAATAAGGACAACTAAAAAAAAAAAAAACTAGATAAAACATAAAAAGTAATTACCTTCACTAAGAGCTAAGAAATGATGAGGCTAAAATCTAGAAGAAGACAAGGACCTGGATAGAAAAGCCCAGCACTATAATCCACTTTTGCCCAAGGGAATTTGCTGAATCCAAAAGAAAGTATTATGAAACTGAGCTGTGGTTTTCATGACCTTATGGGCAAAGGGGACAAGAAGTTGAAACCTTCCCAAATGAGTAGATCTAATAAGCCACTCAACCACTTTAAGCTGAAAATAAGTGGCTACCCTCCAGGATAATAATGAATCAGAAGTAACAAGATCTTGCATGGACTTGTAGCCTAGATACCCATCAGCAGGGTGATCCAAGGAACTCCCAATCCCTGAAGTTGGATTAAAGGAGTCTTGGTCAGGGACACCTTGGTGGCTCACTCAGTTAAGCATCTGACTTTGGCTCAGGTTATGTTCTCACAGTTTGTGAGTTCAAGCCCTGCCAGGGGCTCGCTACTGTCAGTGCACAGCCAGCTTTGGATTCTCTCTCTCTGCCTCTCCCCTGCTCAAGTGTGCACGTGTGTACGCGCATGTGTGTCTAAAAAATAAATATAAAAAAGAAATCTTGGACAAGCACTGTTGCCAGACATTTAGGCTTGCAGCCTAGATACCCATCACCAGGGTGATCCAAAGAACTCCCTTTCCTGAACCTGGATTAAAGTAGTCTTGGACAGGTACTGTTGCCAGGCATTTGACAAGAGCAAGTGAAAATACTCTCCACAGAAAGGTTTTGTCTTCTAGGTCTGAAATCTGTCTCACAAATAATTTTTCAATAATATATCCGCATGTAGTTAAAAATAAGTAGGCACTCAAAGAAAAAAAATCATTGTGACAACTGGAAGAAAAAATAGACAAAAATTCAGAGAGACTTCAGATATCAAAATTATGACACACAGACTATAATGACTATGGTTTACTATAGTTCAAAAAAAAATAAGCTTTAATGGGGCGCCTGGGTGGCTCAGTCGGTTAAGCATCCGACTTTGGCTCAGGTCATGTTCTTACAGTTTGTGGGTTCAACCCCAAGTCGGGCTCTGTGCTGACAGCTCAGAGCCTGGAGCCTGCTTCAGATTCTGTGTCTCCCTCTCTCTCTGCCCCTCCCCCACTCACCCGCTGTCTCTGTCTCTCAAAACAATGTTAAAAATTTTTTTTAAATATGCTTTAAAATAGCTGCAGGGAAGAAAAAAAATCATAAAAAGTGACAGTCAATTTGAAAAATAATCAAATAGGACATCTAGAACTAAAAAATATAAAGATTGAGAGTTCAGTGCATGTGTTTAACAGATTAATAAACACAACTGTTAGACAATAATAGGTATAATGAAAAATAAACTTAAGAGAATTATTTTTTAAGCCTTTAATTCCAGTTGGTGAACTGCAGGTAATATTACTTGCAGGTGTACAATATAGTGATTCAGCAATTACACACAACACCTGGTGCTCATCACAAGTGCCCTCCTTAATTCCCATCACCTGTTTAAGCGGG